CCATTCGTGCCGGCGGAAGATAGTCTCCTGGCTTCTCAAGCGCTCGGAGCCCTAACGGCCGTTGCAACAGTTTGCGTCGATTGACAGCCGCTGCTCGGCCTTTGGACAGCCCTCCTGGTGTTTGCCTGTGATCTCCAATGAAGACTGTAAGGGTTGGTTGTTGAATGGCAGCAAGAGCTGCAATTTCATGGTAATTGCCATACTGTTGACTTTCGTCCATGAAAGCAAGCCAGGTGCGAGAGATCCAATGGCCAAAGGAGGAATAGCGCATCGCCATTTCCGCCGTGGCTGAGCCACCTGTTGCAATGAGTACATTCTTGTGAGCGATAATTCTATTGCGGTCACTGCAGCGGACGTCAATTTTGGAGGCATATGCGTCTCCTTTGCCTTCCTCCATGCGACCAATTAGCCTACCAAAGTTCCGGATTGTGGGGGGCGCGAGGTCACTTAACTGATCCGCAAGTGCTTTGGCAGCTACATTTTCTTTCGTGTAGATGATCGCAACAAAGTCCTTGAGTTCGCAGCTCAGGGCAATGAGCAAGACTGCAAGGGATCGCGTTTTGCCAGCACCAAAGACCCCTGCAATACATAAGTCAGATCTTCCTGTCAAAATGGCCAGCAACATTGCAATTGAGACAGTCATGATATGTCCATCACCGTGGGCTGCTAGTGGAAGTAGACGCTCACGGTAATAACTGTCATGGGCCCCTTCCATCGTGATCGCGGCTGGTGTCAAAAACCGGCTCAAGATTCTGACTAATGCATCAGTCAGCTGCGTTTTGCGCTCGCTAGCCATGCGGCGAACAGGTATATGCGGCTGCACGATGCCCATTGCCAATGGTAGGCGCGACTGGTTAGCTTGTGCAAACACTAAGAGTTCATGGCGGCTGCGTGTGTCTCCCAGAAAGGCTAGCTCCTCCCACACTACGGCCATGGACACATGGTCTTCGATGGGTTTCGGCCAGTCCTGTGCAGGATCAAAGTAACTCATTGTTTTGAGATACTGGTCCAAAAGTCGCCCACAAAAGGTCCGAGCAATGGGTAGCGAGACGATAACAAGCTCAAGCAACTTAGGGGCAATGCGCTTGAGCGCTCGCTGAGCAGGGTTCTTGCTGGTTCCGCTAGGCATCACCTTTTCATGTACCAGTAATATGACACACCGCTACGGTTCGATGGCGCAGAATACTAGAAGGACTGTATTTACCAGTACGAATACGAAATGAGCTGCAATCACCCCCGGAGCTCAACCGGGAAGGAACATTCCTGCACCAAGTTGACTAATTGTGTGCTCCAGATGAACACTTTCCCAGTGAGAGGCTGGCACCAGGTAAAGGCTGAATTCTGGCCTGCTTGTGACCCTGGGAAAACGAAAAAGCAGTACACTTTAGTCACATTCTTCATTCAACCATGATGCCTTTCACTACGCAAGTATAGTGTGCTCTGTTACATGTAGCTGCCGCTTCATGCGATCCTATCGGCTCCAAGTGCGACAGTAGACAGACCTGCTGCCTCAGCTTATTTCCAGAAAAGGGAAATATAGGGTGCCTCCTTACCTCGTTGAGGGATCGATATAGCAAACCCTTCCGTTGATTAGGCAAAGGGTATTACTACTGGCTGGCTTTGTCATACAACAGATCACATCTTGTTCTTTTGTGCATTGGGACCTTATTCCACGATAGTATCCCTCATTGCGTGATCTCCTTTCACCTCATCTTCTCTCTCCATTCCATTTGGTTTCTGGTTTTTCTGGCCAAAGACGTGCCAGGGCTACCAGCGCCTCTCTCCACCACCCCTCTCTTTCTTTTGCTCTCTCCTCTCCTCTTTTGTTCTTTGGCTCGTCCTTGTGGTCTGCTCCCTCCCTTTCCCTCTCTTTCTCCTTTTCACTGTCGTGCCTGGATTCTCTGACTAAAGACTGTCAGGGCTTCCTGCCTCTCTTGTCCTCTCCTTCCCCCCTGATTTCACTTTTGCTCCCTCACTGCCTTGTGCGCCGCCTCTGTTGTGTTGTCGTTCTTTAATTTCTCGAGTGTTGGGTGATTTTCGATCCATTTTCCTCCTGTTAAGGTGCTTGAACTGCCTGGCCAAAGACGTGTCAGGTTTTTCAACACTCGCCCCCTCCCCCCTTGTTTCTTCGTTTGTGTGTTGCTTTTGGCCTTTTCTGGCTGTTGTTTGTTTTGTCGGTCTTGCGGTGGTTCTTCTTTAGTTGATCAATTTCGACTTTCGAGACTGACTGGAGTGCTTGAGTCTTCTGACCAAAGACGTGTCAGGATTCTCAACACCCCCCACCCTCCCCCTTAATTACATTTACACCCAATTCTGCTACACAGGAACTGCACAGTGTGATGTCTCTGATTTCCAGGGAACAAGTTGTGAAATCCTGGTACGCGAAGAACCCTAACATCAGCTTCATTGACTTGCTCTACGCACTTGAACAGCACAAGAGCATTTCTACTGAGTATGGGCTGAATGTATCAATTGAACAGCACTGGCGATTTGGTGACCCCCATAAGAAGACAGCTGAACCTGATCGCCATGACTATGAAATTGCAATGGTCAACGGGAGCGAAACCGTACCTGGACCTGACTGGCACAAGTTGTACCGATGGTTGGTTAGTCAAAGCTCTGCTTTCTTGCCTTACCATACGGTGTATTTGGTGACGGACAATCGTGATTTGCAATCGGACGAGGTCAAGACTGTGCCTGGACTCAGCCATTGGCCAATGGTCGCAGCGTGGTGGAAAGAACGGTTACGCTATGTCGGTCCATATGGAGAACTCACGACAGTTGTCTTTGTCCACATTTCAGATGACACTGGTCTGCATAAAGTACACCCGACATGGGCAGGGACTTACATCCTTGATGCTTGTGTGTTCCTCTTTCCGACCATCAATTTTGCACTGATTGACAGCGATTGTGTGCCAGTGACCCTCTTTGAGATACAAGAACTTTGGCTAGCGAGCACTGACCCAACCCGCCCAGCTACATCAAGCAAAGCTGCAAAGAGCAAACTGTCAAGCCCCATTGCGTCATCGCACAAACGTGCGCGCTCTGTGGACACGGGAAGGGACATGCAGCAGCGAAGCTGTTCTACAAGGACTTCAATCTTGTTAATTCTATAATATACACATATCTTAATATGTATATATTTTATCTATATATATTTCAATTTAATAAAAACCATTTCATTTACCAAACGGCTTGGCTTCCATTCTTCGAATTTCCAAAACGACTTCTGATGCACTCGGTTTTATATTATTTCCTTTTTCGCTTGCTGGATATAATTTTGTCCAGAGGTCTCAACCAACAGCTTTATTTGGTTGAATTTTCAGATGGACATCAAACCCCCATATAAAACTATCTGGGAATTCAACTCGCCATTAATCCCCCAAATATAGAGTGAGGAGAATTCCAGCAAGCGAATCAGGATTACAAAGTTGGAAGTGTCCATGGAATGGAAGCATTGGATGGTACAAGCGTTGGAGTCCTACGGATGTTCCAAAGGTCTGGCAATGGGATTCGAATGCGATCACCTAATTGGAAATTGTGTGGTGGCTGGCCGATCTGGTCCCATCGGCTGAGATCGTCTGCAAAAATGTTGTCTGAACCTGCGATGTGATTAACGTCAATTTCCATACCCAGCATGGCTGATAACAAGCACAAACGTTCAAGAAAAATTGAAAGTGGGTATGTCATGCTCCAAAGTTTATTGCTACCCGATTCGGCACCTGTATTATCACTCAAGCTTTTCAGGCAAATGGGCATGCGATGAGCTGGAAAAAATCGGGCCGTCACAAACAGAAGGGCAATCTGAGCTAATGTCTCAAATGAAGAAATCGATCGTTGCATTTCTGGGTCAAGTTCTACCCCCAACTCAAGGAAATCGGAATGTGAGTAAATCTCAGAAACCCAGTATGTTTTTCCCGCGGGCGAGGTCACAAAACCTCCAATTTCACAAGTTTTTCCAGAGGCACAAGCATCGGCTGCTGCAGTGCCCCCCCAGTATTGTTTTGGTGTTAAAGGTTTCATGGGGGATAAACCGGATACCCATTGGATAAAATGTTGAACAATCCGAAGGCTGGCTGGAGATAATGTTCGTTTCGTTGAAGCTGGATCTCGAATTCGAAGCCAAATACGTTTGTTTGAGAGATGAACCTTTGCAAGGTCGCTCTTGTGCTGGATGTTCTGATGGCGGACAGCTAGTAATTTTCCGCCCAGTGGCAATGCAGTGCCTTGTGGCCGAGAAATAATGTTGAGATTTTCATCCAAATGTGATGCAAAGGATCTCCAGTCACCATTATCGATACTATAATGTGTTGCAGGAATTGAGTATAAATCATGATACCAGTGACGAATCCAAATTCGCATGTAGGGCCAAAGCTGGGTCAGCCAGAGTGCTAAACCAATCAGTTTTTCCAAATTTCGTTTGGATGTGCGAGAGCTTCGACCAATCGAACGCAAATATCCCAAAAATTTTGTGAGCTTGGCCATAGGGATTTCAATGAAGCCAGAGCGAAAATGGATTTTCCAGCCAATCCATTGAATACTAAACGCAAGTTCGCATTTGGACCATGAGACCGGGATGTTTGTGATTTGACAAATCAAACAGATCATTGTCGCCGAGAGAGGCATGCTAGTCATGGTCTGGTAGAACAAGAAGTCATCAACGTATAATAGGGCTATGTGAGCCCACCATATCAAAAAATGGAAGAACCTCAGCATCCAGCCGCCGAGTCTGGACCACCATGCCGCCGAGAAGGTAGCCCCGAAAGGGGCCACTCTGTAAAAGAACAGCTGGCCCTGCAGCGTAAATCCAAGTAGTCCACATTCTTCATCTCGAATTACTATTCTTTTATGGGCTGCCTTAATGTCGAGGGAAAAGGCCATATGATCACCTGAAAAATTACGCAAAGGGAATGTGCGCAGCACATCCTTGGCCGACGGCAATGTGCTCCGCTCAGGTATGTGGCAGCGGTCATTAAGGCCGCATATTGTATTGTCCAGGACTAACCTGGGTGCCCTGCCGTCCGAGTGTGCAACGCCAAGTTTTCCTAGGGCGACACCCAGGGGAAATTGCTGTTGTGCATCCTCCAATGTTCCTTCAAATGGAAAAACCCAGCCCTTGTCGATTTCTTGTTGTACCAACTCACGAGTGAGGGCAATGTCGTCCTCTGCGCTCTGCCAGTTCGTCTGGTGAGCCGACAATGGTGGTTCTTCCCGGTCTTCTGAGTTGCTTAACGGAAAACAATTGCTCAATGGGATGTCACGTTGGAAACCTGTGCCAACACCAGCAATAAGTGAAGGGAAAAGAGCATTATCCGGATCCTGCATCAAGGTGTTCAAGGAGTGCAGAATATTCAAGCACATAGGTTGGTGGGTCCGAACTTCCCAATTGGGTGTCATGCCTGATGAAATCAAAAATTGTTCCAAATCTTGTCGAAAGGGAGCAAGGACCTCTTCTGTAAATGGGGGGTTGGAATGGTCGGCCATCGAGAAATATTGAACCAATTGTTTGTCCAGCCTGGATTCCAATATACGTGTCATCCATGTCTTGCGCAAAGGACCAAAAACATCCGAAGCTGTTCGAGCACCAAGACTCCAGTCTGGGTTGGAATGCAGGCCCCCCCCATCTTCCTGACCAAAAGGTGGTTCAAAAATATCTTTGCGTGGAGGAATCTGTTCTATATCATCCCATTTAAAATCTTTGGAGTGCTGGTTGACCAGAGGAGAAACTAGGTTGGCAAAAGCTTCGGCCAGTGCCGGTGGATAACATGCCGTTTGCCGGCTGAGAAATTCGCCTGATTCCGATCTTGTACCAACCAGTGATGTATGGCTCCCATACGGGTGAGAACATAGACAACCCAGTGTCGAAATTTGTTGCCAACTGCTTGCAAACATCCATTGTTTGTACCAGTTCTTGCCGTATTCACATGCGGAGATGACTGTGCACCATGCTGAGATCAGCACCAAGAAAGATTTTACGCATTCCTCCAACCAGCTCATGGCGGAGGGGGGCTGCTCAAGGTGAGCGTGTCCCCCTGCCTGAAAAATTAATGTCAGGCAAGTAATAGTTCTGAAAAGCATCATAACAGATTCTTGGACTTGAAGTAGCTCCATGCTGTTAAGGCCCGGGACGCCATCTAAAGCTTCAGGTGTTCGAAGTGCTTTAGGGCCTGGACGATGAAGTTTCAACCTCGAGTAATGGGCACAAGAAGGGGAAGCCGCACCATAAGCCACCTGTCTAGATGAACAAATTCGCAACAATTGCTCGTAGCTCTGGTCATTCAGTAGGTCCATACGCTTGTCCAGCAAAATGTCAAAAGACAGTACATTGCCCTGTTGGGCCAAAATGGCCGCACTCAGTGGGCGTGTTGCCCCCGAGCAAATATCCAGAAACAATCGAGCCTCACCTTGGGCGAAGTCAGGCAGTGAAGGTGCCGATATGGTTGGTGACACTGGTGATACCTGTGAAACTGAAGTAACATCAGTTGGCTGCTCCTCCAGGGTGGGCTCCTTGGGAGTCCCTTGAAGTGAAACTGGTTCTTGTGACGTTGGAGTAGGATCCACCATATCATCTGTTGTAACTGGCTGCATTAGTCAGTGGGTCGTATTTTGATGCTGAAGGGCACCGTGGTCCAAACCGCACGCATGGCCATTAACTGGATATGCACATTGGTGCTGGAATTTGCATGAATCTCCCAGCGAACAGCCTCCTGTTTGGTATCGCATGCATAGCTGCTTCCATTGACCATCTTTGGTTTTGACATCAGTCAGCCATTGGACCTTTCCTTTGCCTTTTGATTTGCCTTTGCCCTTCGAGGGCTTGCCTTTGCCCTTGCCTTTTGTAAAGCTCGAGGAGCTGGGTGTTGATGGCATGGATGGAACCTTCACTGGACGAGGGCGAAGTTGAAGCAAACCTGGAAGGTCATGTCGGATATGGGTGAATTCATGTAAGCAATTGTCCATATCCCAACCACGCTCAGACATCAAGTCGGAAATGGAAGCCCAAATCTGCCTGTCTGCCGCTTGTGCCTCTGTGATTGATGCACAGCGCAACATGGTATCTGGGTCCACCCTTTGTGTAAGGAAACTCAAAAACTTCGCTGAATAGGCTTTGAGGTTCGCTAGGTGGGCGCCTCCACACATTGCAACTGCCGTATCATGGACTGCCAGTAAGTTACGTACTGCATTAACCCCAAAACCAGCATTTGAAATGTCAATCGAGGGGGGCTCATCCACCAACAAGCTGTGCAGTGTGGCCACTTCAAGTTTAGGCATCTTTGCCTGCCTTTGAGAAGTGATTTCATCTGATTTTGCCAAAGTAAGTCGGTATTTCCAGGGAATCCACGACCACTGTTTCTTTGAGAGCTGATGGTGTGTAAGGCTCAGTAAACGCGTACTTGGCATGGTATCATGATTGAGAAGCTCTGAGGGATAACTGGCCAAAAATTTGGCCTTCATCTGTTCAATCACTGCTGTGTCCAACTTCGGGGGGAAGCTTTCCGCCCATGTGCTTGCTGAGGCCGATGCATCAGAAGTGGCCGTTCCACCAACAGGTGTTTGATTTGCAGGTGCAGGTTGGGTCAAGTCATGACACATTCGGAATGCAGCCCTAAGTGAGGCTTTCTGAAGCAGGGTTGGCTCTTCACTGAAAAACTCAGGCCAGAGCTTGTCAAACGCTTCTAAATCCAACGCAGAAAACGCAAAGGACTGAATTGTCCAACCTGCTGAAATCAGCTGGGATGCTGTAGCAGGATCAACGCCACACGCTGACATCACCTCTTCCAAGTTTTTGGAAGTCATGACGCACGCAAGAAAACGCTGTCCAGGTGGACCCTAATGAATAAAGCTGGCAATAAAACACATTGGTCATGTGGTACATGGTGATGCACCGCAATTGAGGTCCGGGCTGAATTTTGGATATGGTCCTGAAGGATGTCATGGTATGGCTGACATGATGTTGTTTTTTTTTTGAAATGGCTGCGGACGAGCATATAACTAAAAGAAATGGCTATGGGATGCATGCGATGGGTGAAATGTATGGTGGTTTCGGCCATGAAAATATGCTGATGCTCAACCTCCTGCAGGAGATTGTTCCAATTGACGCAATGATCAAACGCTGAGAAAATGATGAACGCATCTGCCTTTTTTGTCTGAAGCGATGCTGTTGGGTGCAGCTCAAACAATTTGGACTGCTTTCCAAATTTTCTTGCAACCTGCATGTTGGCAAAATGCCACAGGTGGTTGCAAGTCCTCCAGGAAATCCGTTTCTGAGTGAAGCATCCTGGCGCCACATGCTGCTCTCCAGTAGTGGTTTCGGTTGAAAGGTCTGGACTCAGTATCGTCCGTTGTCGCAACCATGGCATGGGTGACCTTCCGATGCCTTGCAAACACTGCTTCGTCCACCTGACCCTCTTCGGGCACCAATGGTGTTGTGTGTGCCGTGGGTTCCAATGCCTCTGAACTGGAACTGACACCCTGGCTGCTATTGCTCGAGGATTCGTTGTCTGAGTCCAGCTGTTCGACCTCCGGGTCAGGCAGGATTTCATGCGGATCTTCAGGCTTAGAAAAGGGAAGCCATTGAAATGAATATTCAGGTGCAGTCTTCTGGAACCGTTCCAAAGTGACCATTGGCTCCGTCAGAGGAAATTGTCCTCCCCTGTGTTGGGCTGTCTTGGGCCGCCACCCTTTGTGTATCTCCATGATGATGGTTGATTGGTATCGTAAAGAACCCCAAACGCTGTCTCTGCCATAAAGATTCAGTGAATGCTTGGGATCCTGATGGTGACCCTGCAGCAATCGATCTGAGTCGCTGACCAGGTTGCCCAACTGTGGGCCAAAACTCAAAAGAGTAGCTTTCATTGAATGTAGGGTGTATGTTTGTTGCAGGTGAGCCAGTGGATGTTGATCCTGAAATTTCTTCCATGGTGTCAACAGCATTTCACGAAAAATTCGTGTTGTCTCCGCATAATTCAGTGGTTCAAGCTCCTGAAATGTTCCATCTGGCTCCATGGATGGGATCAGAAAATCCACCTTGGACTGTGGGACCTGTAGTGCTGTCATCACTTGGTCCCAAGTTTGTAGAAACTTAAACAGCCATGTGAATGTCCCTTTGCTGCAAAGTCCTGCCGCCTGTGCACCGAAAGGGTGTCCTGCCGCCATTGTCTTTGATCTCCATACCAAGCCACGGAGTTCCTGAAAATTGAAGACCAATGAGCTGATGTTCAACCTCTGTGCATCAGCAAAGCGAAGACCTGCCCAGGTAATGAGAAGAAAGGAGCCAAGCATCATCACCTCGTATGTAGTGGAAGCCCCTTGTAAGATTCTACGTTCCCACTGGAAAATCAACCACAGAGGGAGAGGTGGTGCCTCTCGACGGTCTTTGCTCAGTTTTGTTTTCAAGAAGCTGTCGACCAATGGAGAAAAACAAATCGTCAAATGAGAAACTCCTGCAATTTTGTGCCACCAACGCAATGCTTTGATTGTAAAGTTTCCTGAACATACATCTCTGTCAGTCTCACACGACTTCGATAACCTCATGACGGTCAACACGTCCGCAAGCTGAGATTCTGACAAGGTGTGCATATCCAATCCAAGTTGTGCAGTAACCCGTGCAAACTTCTGGACCGCTTGTAAATAGCGGAATGATGTCGTAGCAGCGTAATTGTTCAAAAGTCTCTTGCGATGTTCATCGGCATATGGTGAGGATTGCAGTGATACATATACTGCAGATGAATTGCCAAAAAGCTGCAATAAATTGGTGAACAGTTCAACCAAAAAAGCATTGTCACTGGCCAGCTTTGATCGAGTCAATTGAATCGATGTTGAGCTCCGCACCAGCTGGGGCTTAGCAACGGCTACATTACCCTTGTTCACTGGGGGGCGAGGCAGTGCTTTCTCTGTACTTGGACACAACGCCGGAAAAACCCTTGTGGGTACTAAAGGCTCCGACAACCTGGATGGTGATGCACTCATGGTCAAACTGGCCGGGTGATACTCTGTGCGATGGTTTCTAAGGTATGGTGAACCGACATGTGAAACATGATGAATCAAATTGCCTCGAATTGGTTGATATGCTGGTGTTGATTTGGGCTCTGCAACTGAGATGGCAGCCAAAGTCAACCTGGGACCTGCTGGAACTGACTGGGGTACCTCTGTGATTGAAACTGGAGATACCTGCAAACTAGCTTGGAGTCGAGGTTGGACTGGCATATCCGGACGACTCAACGGGCATGTCTTAGGTGTGGGTTGCATCAACTGCACTGATTGTGAATCCCAAATGAGGTCCCAACCTTCTTCAATCGGAAGATCCATCAGCGACTGAAGGTGTCTCGATCACTCGAAACCGAACTGCACAACGAAAAATGCGATGGGAGCACCAGCTAAAACGCCAAATATCCCTGGGCAGTGTTCTGTCTTCCGAATTCTGATCGTACAAGTATGAAACGATGAGTGTGCACAATTCTAACCTGAAATGTGATGCAAAAATCTCTGTCCAATCTGGGTTCCGATGACGCAAAGCAAGCATGGCAGGCCCCGGATCTCCGGGATGTGAAGGGTCCTGTCAATGACCTAAAAGCATGTGAAGTGAAAAGAAACATTTGAATGACGCAACCCACACCCTGACATTGAAACGGAAAAATGAATCCTGCAGTTTGTTGACGCAATTATGCACCATGTGTGGCCATGTTTTTTAAAGTTAAAACAGCATGCAAAACGCAAAACAAGATTAAAGTCCTTGAGCCAAAATGTTTCAGGGGAAACAATGATCTGAAAGTACCCCGTAAAACATAAACGAAACAAGTACGTTAAACATCCAGATCGCATAGTGCGGACCATATTGCTGTCCGAACAGCTGATCCACTACGAGCCCCTCCGTTCACCTATGGTGCCAATTTGGCAGACGAAGTTGACTATGGTGATTCGCCAGACCCGAGTCCCCGCATGTCTCGTCGGGCGACGTCCAGCAGCGATGACTCCTCCCCGGCGGGGTCAACCAAACCTACCCGGAAGGACAAAGCAGCCGTGGATGAAACTGTCACTGCGCGTAGGCCGAAAGGAGTCATCCTTGTGAGTGAGGCATTCACTGAAATCAATGCGGGTCTGGTCATTGTACTAGCCTCGGGTCATGAGAGTCCTGTACCTGTCACTGCCTTGGAGGACGCGGATACGGATCCTGATGAAATAGCCCAAGTTGTTACCAGTGCTTACCATAGACATGTCGAAGCCTACCTTGCTACTACATATCCACCCGCAGACGTTGAGCAAGCAGTTGCTAGTGGATTACTTGGCTCTCCTCTGCTTGGCACGTCCACCCGTGTGACTGCAGATTGGTGCCATGCGTGGAGTTTGTTAGGCCAGTGGTCTGGATTAGTCACCTTTCCGGTTCCAGCCTCTGGAGTCTGGCCGCGCCATGGTCATCTACGGAGGATCCTTGATGGCTACCAAGGCAGACAACCGAACTTCCATAAATGGGCTCGGCCTGCCTACGAGCAAGGTGCCCTTCCCACCCTTAGCCTGCTGCCAGGTGAGGTCAGTGTACGAGTGCTACCAGGAGACAAGATGTACCAAGCCATGGCAATCGAGCCACAGCATATGCGGCCTGTTATTCTGCATGGGTTTGGCACCAATGCCAAGAAAAGAATGCCTAGCAGTCTCGGTGACCTCGCCCAATTCGGCTGGTTGCCGTTGGCTGCGGCTTTATTTGGTACACAAGAATGGAAGCCCCAATGGCTGCATCACAATTTCCTTCCAGTGGTTGGTCTTCGACTGCATGCCAAAGTGCCTCCTCCTCCTCTCTCCCAAGCTCAACTAATCTTGCTGTGTGGACTGTGGCAACGGAAGGAACAAACGGAACCCTCCTGTACATCGCTGCAGCAAGCAGCTCATTTAGAGTTTGGCCTTCCGTTACCATTCCGAGAAATGGCTAAATGGGAAGTCACTGTTAATGAGCAGGCCATAGATGTTGGAGAAGTATCCAAACAAAACTACGTTGGAAGACAACCTGATGCTGCGCTGCCCGTAGCGCTCCAAGGCTCTGCCGAGTGGGCCTCCTGGGTCCTTTCCCTCTCAGAAGTCTGGCAAGATGACGCCCCAATGCAAGACCGACCCCTGGAAGTGCACTGCAGTGGATTAGGGGGTGGCCTACTTAGTGGCGAGCATGAATATGATATTTTCCTGCAAAATCTTGCGCAAACCAAGGTGTATGGCCCATCGCTTGCGATGACAGATGATTGGGAAGCACATGTCACCCAATTGGGCCTCACCAAAACAGTGCATGAATATGCGGTATACCAGCTACTCTCCACTGCAGAAGGATGGACAGCTTGGCGAGATTTCCTCCCTGAACAGTTCTCCGATCAACAACTGCTGCTCACGAGAGCGATTCGCCTCATTGAGGCTGCGAATATCCGGCCAGCCCATGCCAGGCCACCACACCCGACCTGGTCAACAGCAATTATGCAGATCTTTCGTTGCTACCATCCGCAAGGGAAACATCTATTTCTGAAGTCGTGTTTTCCACACTTAGTCACGACAGCGGATACAGGAGGTGTCAGGGACATCAACGTTTATGGTTTCTCGGCAGGGTCCTATACGGGCCTTGCAGTCCACGAGATCCTGAGTGAATTCGCTGCGTTCCCTGGCTTCACCAAAGTTGCTGCGATTGCGACGCCGCCAGAGATGATGCGACTTGCCACGGGCGAACGCAGAGTCACACTGGTGCATTGTCTGGAAGATCGGCTATGTGTGTGGAAACCTGACTCCTTAACAGAATTCAATTATCAGGTTGTTCTTATAGAAGGGCACCCCACATGGAGTGGGCGTGCCAAACACTCCTATGGCCACTTGCTTTTCATTGACCTTGATGAAGGAGTCCATGAAATCCAAAGATTGCAAATCACCACCCCTCAAGTCATTCCTCATGGAGTGCGGTGCGAGGGATTGCTGCGTGTACTTTCGTGGGTGAGCTTTGACCTTCCTGAACACCTCAAGACGACTCTAAGTGCTCTGTTAGTAGCAGCGGGAGAGGGGAACACTGAGCTACAAACAGTACCCATTGTCGGACGGGACATTCGGGATGGTCAGCCTGAGACGGAAGCTGAACTACAAGCAGCTCTGATTGCGATGATTCCTACACCGGGAGGATCCCATGATGAGGGAGGGTTGCTGGTTCGCAACTTACTGGCGGAATTCCTGCGTGGGTTTTCATTACGTACCCTCATCTTCCTACTGGACATGGTGCTTCCGCAACTAGACGCTTATCATGCGGGACGGCAGCTCCAACATCTCCAGCCCTGGGTTAGTGTAGAACTAGCTCAGCAGAAGAAGCGAGGACAAACGGGAACACGGTTACAGGTTACCTACCAATATGAGGCGTATGCTGGCTTTCATGTCATTCACCTACATACTGACGGTGCCCCGCTCCTGCTCTTTAGTGCACCTTCGGAAGTTCCAACGACCTCGCCGCGTGCTCTCTGTGAAGCTGGGAATCTAGGCAACTTGGAAGCCAACGTGATGGCGGGCAGAGCACTACTGGGAGTACTCCAGTTGCCAGACACTCAGCAGCGGTGTGTCATATTACTGGTACATGAAAAGGTGATGCCTAGCGGAACTAGCAAGAACCCTGCTCAGCGAGCGCTCAAGCGCATTGCCCCTAAGTTGCTGGAGCTTGTTATCGTCTCGCTACCCATTGCTCGGACCTTTTGTGGGCGACTTTTGGACCAGTATCTCAAAACAATGAGTTACTTTGATCCTGCACAGGACTGGCCGAAACCCATCGAAGACCATGTGTCCATGGCCGTAGTGTGGGAGGAGCTAGCCTTTCTGGGAGACACACGCAGCCGCCATGAACTCTTAGTGTTTGCACAAGCTAACCAGTCGCGCCTACCATTGGCAATGGGCATCGTGCAGCCGCATATACCTGTTCGCCGCATGGCCAGCGAGCGCAAAACGCAGCTGACTGATGCATTAGTCAGAATCTTGAGCCGGTTTTTGACACCAGCCGCGATCTCGATGGAAGGGGCCCATGACAGTTATTACCGTGAGCATCTACTTCCACTAGCAGCCCACGGTGATGGACATATATTGACTGTCTCAATTGCACTGTTGCTGGCCATTTTGACAGGAAGATCTGACTTATGTATTGCAGGGGTCTTTGGTGCTGGCAAAACGCGGTCCCTTGCAGTCTTGCTCATTGCCCTGAGCTGCGAGCTCAAGGACTTTGTTGCGATCATCCATACGAAAGAAAATGTAGCTGCCAAAGCACTTGCGGATCAGTTAAGTGACCTCGC